CGCGGTGCTGACAGCACTCCAAGCCGATGCAATATTCATCCTGACATTTCCCTCCGCACCAGCCCTTCCCAGCTCCAGCTCGCAGCCATCGCAGCCACCAACTGCTGTGCTGCGATGGTGAGGTGCCACGGGGCTGAGCCAACCCCCCCCCACGGCCGCCCTGAGCCCCGGGGGAAACCAAGGAGGGAGCTTTGCCTCAATTTCCCTTTAGGACCACTCCTCTCCCATTCACTGTATCCACTCCAGCTCATTTCTGGAGTGGTTTAACCAAGGGCAGGGGCTCCCAGCCCTGAGACCCAGCTTTGCTGGGAAACCTCTGTGTAGGCATGGGGTGACAAATACACAGCCAGTGACCACCATAGGATGGGGCTCTCCACCCTTCCTCCTCCTCTTCTGCCTTCATCACCCTCAGGACAGCCCTTGGCCTTGGCAAAGCTGTCCCCAGGAGCTATGACAAGGGGCTGTGCACACTGGAAATTTAATGAGCTTGCATCTAACGAATGCAATTAGTACAAATTGGTTTATTTTCATTAATGGAGTCGGGGTGGGCAGCAGCATGGAGCGCAGGAAGCAACATCTCACCTCCGCTTTCTCCAGGCGCTCAACACCTCCTGCGGCTCGGCAGATGCTGCCGGTGCTGTGGAGCTGAAGCCTTGGGAAGCGAGGATGAAACACGCCTTGGCAATGGAGGGGAGCCAGCACAGTATGGCAACGGCTGAGTGTCGCCCGGCTTGGCACGCTGAGCAGGCGAGGCATCGCAGTGGCGACGGCTGCTTCGCTCTTTCGCAGCAACTTCCATGGTTTTTGTCTTTTTAAGCTGGACACAGCAAGGGATGGGGAGCTGAGAGTTGAGCCCACCAGTGCTTTTCAGGTTTCTCTCAGTTTCTGAGCGATGGGGATTTTGAGCAAGGAGCAATGTCCCACCCTGAACAAGCCTGATCCCCCTCCACCCCGGGGCTGACTCATCCTGCGGGAACAGAAAACTGTGGTTCATCAGAGGCTGAAACCCCGAGAGGCTTCACTTTCCCTTGTGAAAAAAGCACCAAAACTCCTGTCAAATCCCTGATCCTGCTGGGAACTGGACCCGGCCAAAACCAAAATGGGACCTCCCCCCTCCCCAGGGGTCAGCACACACAGAGAGCATCACCTCCAAAGGCTTGAAACAAATCCAAAATTTTATTTCCAACGAGTACACAGACCACGTGGGATGGGGATGCGCGACATCACAACGCCGACCTTCCCGCTCCGGTTTTTGGTGACAACCGCCCCCTCCCCAGAACGCTGGCAGCAGAGGGACAGACTCACCCCCACCACCAGCAACCTTGGCAGAGAAAAAGAAAACGTCAGGAAAAGTCCTTTGCCGGTACTCCAGGTATTTTTCTTTAAAAGCCTGGGGGTTGAGTTGAATGGCGTTTGATACCACGCTGGAAATACAGCATCGGGATAGAGAGATGAATGGGGGGGAGAACAATTTGGCAGGCGATCTCTACTTGGCTAACAAAGGCGTATCTGTGTAAATATAAATACTGGGGTGAAATCCCCAGCAGCACACCAACGGCAACACCACTACCAACAGAAAATAACGACCAGCGACGTAAAACACCTTCAATGAGTAGTTTAGGCTGATTCAAAATTCCACCCCCCCCCTCCCCGTACTCTTCATGCAGCTTTATTTCTTCTTTTATTTATTAAGAATCCGAGCTGTAAAAGACTCAAGTTGTTTAAAAAAATTATTACAAACCACTTGGTGACGGCATTTGAGAAGGGTTGGGGTGCGAGCCCCGGGTCAGACCAGCTGCACTTCACTCTCCGTTACAGGAAATCAGCATTAAAAAAACAAAAAGACAATCCTGGACAGGGTATTTACATGTCTTTCTCCTAACACCGTGAGCAGAACCGACTGCAGAGCAAACCATTTCATCCGTCCTTCATCCTAAAGCTACGCAAGCTGTCCTAAAAAGATCGAAAAGGGGGGTCTGGAGGGGCTGAAAGCCCCTGCGGGAGGGCTGGGACCATTTAGGTTACTCGTGTCATATAAACGCTCCCAGACACCCCAAATGTTGAGGCCAGTGTAAGAACAAACTGGTCTTCTCTGTAGAAGACTAGAAAAAGAGTATGAAAAGGTAGAAAAAACAAAATGCACTTGTTACGGGCTAGAAAGATTTGCCGAAAAGTACCCAAAGACTATTGCCCTCTTGAATCCACAGGGATTTTTAAGCTGATACCTGATTCGGAATGACAGTTTAGCGGGGTCACTGCAGACCCCAAAAATCCTCCGTGACACCCCCCTAATTTTGTATGCAAATCCCCAAGCTGTGATTCCCAAAATCTGTGGATGAGTGGGGAAAGCCGGGAGGTTTTTAGCAGCGGAAAGGAGAGGCAAGCCACGTCCGCAAAAGTATTAACCCGAGGCGGAGCCCAAAAAAGGTGGCGTTTGTCCCCCAAAACGCTGGCGGTGGATGACTGGACCTGGGAGTAACTCCCTAGCCCGACACGGAGCTCAGGTCGTGTGTAAACAAGGAATCAGGCACCTCTGTGAAGGGGTGGCCCCACAGCCCCTCACGCTGCTCCCCTGCCCCAATACATCATGGTGGGGTGCAGCAGGAACAGGAGAGCCGGTGGGTGCAGGAAGGGGGAGAAGCATCCCAGTGCCAGGCAGCGTCCCACCATGGCACAGCATCCCACTGTGGGACAGCATCCCATCAGGGGACAGCATCCCACCACAGGGCATCATCCAACGTGGGGCATCATCCCACCATGGGACATCATCCCACCATGGGATGGCATCACATCACGGGACGGCATCCCAGCCCAGTGGGATCCCATCTCTCCAGTGGGAGGACATGCCACAAGGAAGCCAAAAGAGCAGGACCAAACGAGGAGGGCAGAGGCACAGAGGTGTAGGAGAAGAGGAAAGACCCAGACAGAAGGGGTCAACTTGGATTTTTCAGATTTCTAGCTACCCCACGACGCGCGGGGGCTGGCACCTACCCTAGCTCAGCAGGTATTTCAGGCACGTCTAAGGCTTCGCAGGAGTTGTCCTTACTTTCGGGATCACCTTGGTTTCCTCCCTACAGCTTCTCCCACCAGCACGTGGCATCAAACGCTAGGAAAGAAAAGTCTGGAGCGGATGAACAGGGATAAAACTCTCATGCACTACCACTGAAATGTCGGCACGGGAGTATGAAGCACCAACCACGACACAGGATTCACTTTGACTTGCGGAGCCGAAGCTAACCATATATAAAATGGTAGAAAATGGGGTTTGCCAGAAAAACGGAGCCACCAGCGTCCTCGCCAACCCGGGGCCACTCAACCCCTGCGCTACGCTACCGCCAGAAAGTAAAAAGCACAATGACCAAACATTGAGGAACTTCATAGTCATCTAGCCTGCTATATAGCTGACAACTTAAATAAAAAATAAGATTCCAGAAAGAAACCAACAATATCGTTCCGAGAAGGTTATACACATCCTTAGCAGTTACTTTGCTCAGCACCACTCTGGTGCTGTAAACGTAGAACAATCAATTTTGTGAGCAGAAAAGTGACACAAATTTATTCTTTACTTTTTTTTTTTTCTTTCTTTCTAGGCAACTCTACAGACTTCAGATCTTTTGCCTTGCAATGCAGATCATCTTATTCCCCCAAAGGTGGCCAGGTTCTTTAAACATGCACATCTCTGTAGCTTCCAAACCATGTATTTTATTTAATTTTTTGTTTAAATTCTGCAGACTAGCAGGTCGTCCCCGTTCCTAAAAACTCTGTGTTCAGGGTGGCCTGAGTGGCGGTCAGGCTCCTGGAGGCTTTAGAGGATCACACAGAAGAACTTCTTCTCCCTAAAGGGGTTTTCTGAGGCCGGGACGGGGGTCAATAGAGGGTCCTCCTTGGCGTGGGTTTCGCAGTACGCCATCAGGTCTGCTGCCGCTTTTGACACCTGCAACAGAGGGACCACCACATCAGAGCCAGTCTGTGCTGTGGACATCCCACCCTGAGAGGTCCCACCGGTGGGGCTGGGCTTGCAGCATCCCCAGGGTGTGCACCTTCATACCCTGGCAAAAAACCCAAGTGGTGAAGACCCTGCTGGGGCTGGTTTGTCACCTCTGGAGCTCACCCTGGCCCCAGAAGGTGAGGTTTTGCTTGCAAGCTCCCAGACTTGCCTGCAGCCAGCCCTGGAGCACCCCTGTCTCTCTGGGAGCAGCTGTTATCCAGAAGCACCTCTGTGGAGAAGACAAATCCCCAGGGATCTCTGAGTTGAAGCTCCTGAGCTTTTGTGTGCCCAGAAGCAGTCAAGAGTGGAGAAAGCA